TTTGAAGTTTTGTGTGCAATATGCATGAGGCGGTCAGTGAAAAGACCTGGGTGATCTATCGGCCCAACCGTCATCAGTATTACCTTTAGTATACAGGGAGCAGATCAAAAGGAGAGTATGTTTTTATGCGCTTTTATGCGTATGTGCTGTTTGCACATCAGTTTTTCCATTTTGCATGTCTATTTGCATTTTGCAGACCTAAAAAAAGAATGATTAAAAAAGTATTAAAGTATTTTTTGTAGTTTAATCACAGTTATTTCTGATATACTTTTATTATATACCGTACAGACTATAGAACAATTCTATATAAAACAATAGTGGATTTAATATCAAAATTATCATCTAATGTAAAAATGAAGCCTGTTTTTAGCATGTTTTTAGTGTAACCTTCTTTCTTTAAATACTTCAAGAGTAATTTATGTAATTTTATATTATTTATTTAAAATAATTAAACGAGCCATTTTATGTCTATCCTTGTGTTTTTACTAGCACGGTCCAGGTTGAGTAATGCAAAACTTTTTAGAGAGAGTAATAATCTAATTAAATTGTTGAAGAAGGAATTAGTAGCTATAATTATTTATATTTATAGCTATTATCATTATTTATTATTTGTTATAGTTTCTTACCCAAAACTGCTGTCAACTTTTTTTTTTTTTTTTTGCCGTGATGGAGACATATGAGCATGGTGCTTGAAGTGGAGCAAAATAATGAGAGCTCGTCCTCCACCAATCGCTCTCCACCATTCGCTCTTTTATTGAATTTTCTGAACTTGTAAATCTGCTTAGAACCCAGGCGCCAAATTTGTAAACAACTTGTAGATTGTAGATTGTACTTGTAGATTGTAGATTGTACTTGTAGATTGTACTTGTAGATTGTAGATTGTACTTGTAGATTGTACATTTATTTGTAGATTGATTCTCTCTTAACGCACATAGCGCTGACACGGAGTGGTTACGGAAAAGAGAACCAATAAAAAGCAACACGTGCGATTGAATTACATTTAAGAGTCGTTCTAATTTTAAATATGAGTTCACACACTGTGATTATCATAACACTGTCGAACATCATGCATTAGAACAAAAGCCGGTAACAGCGAATGTCAACTCAACAATAACAACTTTATGCAAATGAACGTCGACTAATCGTGGATGGGTGTGCAAACAGTGATCCGTCGCCACATAGCCTACTGCGGCAGATTAACTCCTATGAAAACACCAGAGCTGGGTAGATTACTTAAAAATGTAGTCCGTTACAATGTAGTTAGTAACGTAATCCATTACATTAAACATTTTTGGTAAAATAATCAGACTACTTTTTGATTACATTTGGATTACTTTTGACCTAACTCGTTTATCACATTGATTTAAATAAGATAATTTTGTACCATATTGATAGAAAAAATACAAAGAATATATATTCCATTTGTGTATTTAACAACATGAAGTGCATTAACATTAGGCCTACATTACATAAAGGATTCCCAAACTGGGCTTCGCACCGCAGGGGGTTTGTGAGTTTAATGAAAAGCTAATAATTAATGAAATCATAAAAATGTAAAATAAAATAAATCATTTGAAAATATCATGAATCATAATAAAACACTTAATTATTTTATTTGTTTATCTGCATATCATGTGACCGTTAACCAACGTCAGAGAACCATGAACATGCAAATGTGATACTTAAAATATTTATATTAAACTCTCAAGAAGTACTTCAAGTAAATATATAGGTGAAAGAGATTCAGATGACAAAAAAGTTTGACAATGCCTGCATTACAGGTAAATAAGAAATAATGTGAATTTGTGCATTTTAATGTGCTTGAAAGACAAAAGCCTTCCAATGATGTAGTAATATATGGTTATATAACAGTGGTTAGTAGTTGATGCAATGTTCAAACACTTCTTAAACCTGAAATGATTTTTTGTAAATGCAGTCGTCAAATGACAAGTGACTGGTCTTTGTGTGAATGTCGATAAACAAAAATCGGAGCACTGCCACAACTGCTCTCAAAAGTGTATGAAGTTTGTGTTAATGTCAACAAAACTGTAAGACTTTCTGACTGTATATAAGCAGTAGGCTATTTTAGAAAGGAACGTTTAAGAGATGAAAAAGAGGAAATAGGGAGAATCAATAAATTATGACTACTTTATTACTATTGTGTGAATAATATGTAATCATGTAATCAATAAAAAATGAACTGTAGTTATATTACAAGTATTTTAAAATGTAATTTAATCTAATTACAAGTACTTCATTTTTGGAATGTAATTATGCAATCCCAATAAATTGTATTCATTATGTGAAAACATTTGACCGCTACACTTCAGCCTGATGTGGTCTTTGGCCTAATTTAAATAAATAACCTATGTTACCTGTGCTAGAGTCTGGCCTCGAGCTGCAGCTGGTCCACGGTATATAATTATTCCAAGGTGAATGCAGCCTTAGTGGCCAGTGGTTGTAGATGTGCTGAAACAAGTATATTTGCTGTTACTTTTATGTAAAAAAAAAAAAACCTTCTCAGTAGCGAGAAACCTTTAGAACTTAAATAACCTGTTTGATGTTTTAACTGTTTAAAAAGTCATGTGATAAGCTGAATGTTTGATGTCATTTCCGCTTGCTGCTCCATGTTAGCATCTTTTCTGTAGCAGTGTTTGCTCAGTGTCCAGAAACGTCAATATTTGTAGATTAAAATTAGCATGTTAAAAATAATAAAGCAGTGTTTTGACATGCTGTCATTTAAAAAAAGAGAGTTAATCAAATATTCCTTATAATTCCTCGAGAGAATCATATGTGGTTATAAAAAAAATAAATAATAATAAATAAATAAAAAACTTCCTACACACCACCTTTGCATTCTACGGAGCCCCTAAAGGGACATGGTGGTGGAAAAAAAATTAGGGGTGGGAGGAAATTTTTTTTTGCGTTCTCTCGCAAAACTTTTGCGTTCCCTCGAGAAACTTTGCGTTCCCTCGCAAAACGTTTGCGTTCTCTCGCAAAACTTTTGCGTTCTCTCGCAAAGATATTTGCGTTCCCTCGCAAAACTTTTGCGTTCTCTCGCAAAAGATATTTGCGTTCCCTTTTGCGTTCTCTCGCAAAGATATTTTGCGTTCCCTCGCAAAACTTTTGCGTTCTCTCGCAAAAGATATTTGCGTTCCCTTTTGCGTTCTCTCGCAAAGATATTTTGCGTTCCCTCGCAAAACTTTTGCGTTCTCTCGCAAAAGATATTTGCGTTTTGCGAGGGAACGCAAAAGTTTTGCGAGAGAACGCAAAAAATCTGACAAATATTTTTTCCTCCCACCCCAAATTTTTTCACTCAATCTGATTTTTTTCCGCCACCATGTCCCTTTAGGGGCTCCGTAGCATTCATCTGTTGCCTCCAGCACTGATGTACAAATCTGTCGTGTAGTGACAGTTTCTGTTCACTAGATGGCACACATATTTCAACATACACATGATCAATCATACAATCATATAATTTTAGCATTTACACAAATAATCACCATTCATAATTCATAACTGAGAATAAATTATTCACAGGCTACAACAAGAAGCTTTACGCATACAGGTTTAAACTTTGGAGTAAAAATTATGGAAAATGACATTTAGTTTTACTGATCTGAGATTTTTTAAGTAGTATTACTTAAGCAAATCATTTTATAGAAGAAGCTGGTCTGTTATTAATGTTATGTTGCATCAGCAAGATTCCTGACTGAGTTTGTGTTTCCTTGCAGAAATCAAAGTCGGATGCTGTGTATGAAAATGTCCCCAAAAAACGATGATCAAATAGGTATCTACCAGAATGGATGCTAGTGCTCACACAGGACCCTGACTCACACCTGTTTGTGTTCACAGTTATTCTCTGCCAGGATGTTATTCTTCTCTCTCAGTTTTGTTTTTGCCCTTTGTATCACATTTTTGGCTTCATCTTTTCTGTTTTTCTTTTTGCTGTTAGTTTTTTTTTTTTTATTAGTATTAGTGGTTCAAAAATAGTACAGAATCCAGAATCTCAACTAAAATGTTCTGTTTTCATTATTAAATATTGACCCCATTTACTGCTTGTTTCTTGTTTATTTATTTTTTTTCTTGTCAGTATGCACTACTGGAGATTTTGGCAAATATATCACAAGCACATCATTGCTCTCTAGTGTTTAAAGGAGAAACTCGAGTGCGCTATAAATAGATGCTGCTGTACTCAGAGAGGAACCGCTAGAGAACTAATGATAAAATAGACACAGGGCCTAAAACGTATCTTTCACATCTAGAAAATCAATGGAATGTTTAAAAATAATGTCATATGGTTCTAGCAATTCATATTCTAAAATATGATTTTCATAATAAACAAATTTACAGATGCAGAACACAAAGAGTGCGTGAAATCTGTATTTATAGCACTTAAATGAGCAAAGAACCTAATAAAATGCATTATAAAACAAAATAATCGATAGCGTTTCCACTACTTCCCAAAAGAAAAAAAACAGGTTGCAGCAGTCAGAAAAGAGAAAGGCTGCAAATTTACCGTCACTTCCTCAGCAGCTGTACAAACACCCTCCCTGCAGTGTTTACTAGTTTAGGCCTAATTTAATGCCAAGGTAATATAACACAAAGCATACTTTTTGATTAATGTGGGATGGTAATTACTGGAAGACAGTCTGTGAATGTTTCACCTCTTGACGGTTCTTCCAGCAGGAAGTGCTTGGCGCTTTAGAGGCTTTGTTTTGTCTGGAGTCATTACTGCACTAAAATGTTGTATCTAGCCTACTTTTCCCAATCCATTACAGGTAAAATACGATAATTATTGTGTATAACTTGAATTTCATATAGCATTGATCCAGTCCTCTGAATCCTTTCAGTTTCTCCTTAAAGGGGTCCTATTATGCTCTTTTACAAAGTCTTGATTTTGTTTTGGGGGTGTACTAGAACATTATTTTTCACATAATTTACATTATTACAATACCTTTCTCTCCAGCCAGGAAGGACCTACAATAATGTACAGTATTTGAAAAATAATGTGTTTTTTGAACATTAAAGCATGTCAACATATTCTGTTACACCAAATACACAAAATAATGATCTTTAAAAAAGCATCATATGACCCCTTTAAAAAATAAATTGCAACCACTGTTTCCTGACATCATCCGCTCACACTACACACTGACTAAAATTAAAAAAGTGAAAAAGCATAATAGGACCCCTTTAAGAAAAGACCAAGGAAACTCACATGTGCTTCAACTGGAGTTTCAAAACAGTTATTTTGCACAGATTCCAAAGTCTGCGATTAAAAGCCAGTTATTTCAAACAGGAACTCAAACTAAATGAACCCTGCAGTTTTATCTGTACAGAAATGTCGTTTGATCGCTTCATCTGGATGCATTTGGTCACTGTGTGTGTAGTTTCTGAGGGAAGCGTTTCATGGTTTTTTTTTTTGTTTGTTTTGTTTTTGTCCTGATAATAAGAATCTCACAATCTTTCACTACACACAACACAAACACACTTTACAGTGAAATAAACTGCAGTCCAATAATGTTGGTGGTTATGGTTATGACAATAAATAACCCGCACAGTAGATGCATGTACACTGTAAGAAACTGACTGTGAAATTCACAGTAATTAGTAATTAGTAGTAACTGTAGAAAAGAACTGCAGTCATTTACTGGCAGCAAGTGACAAGTAACTTACTGTAGAAAAGAACTACAGTCATTTACTGGCAGCAAGTGACAAGTAACTTACTGTAGAAAAGAACTACAGTCATTTACTGGCAGCTATGACAAGTAACTTACTGTAGAAGAAATAACCATATTTTCACTGTTTTCATTTACAGTAGCAACCATGTAACTGTAAAGTAAAACTCACTCATTTGCAAGTGCAACCTTTTTTTTTGCCTTTTTGTGCTTATTACACAGGACAGTGTAACGATTGGTGGGGAATGTGATCGGCAAAGGACCTTAAGCCAGGAATCGAACACGGGTCGCCAGAGACACAGTTGCACTATATGTCAGTGCGCTAACCACTAGACTATCGGTACCGACAGGTTCCGTTGCTGTTTAGTTATATTGGTTCAACCCCCCCCCCAAAAAAAATTATAATAATGCATGTGGCATGATTTTAAATATAAATATTCATTTATCAACAGTCACAGTTAACTGCTCATCATTATAACAAGCTTCATTTATCATTCTTCACTTATTGCTAGATGTGTTGAAAACAATAAGATCTTGATGACCTTCGGGTCATTTTTTTATTTTTATTAAAGAATACATTTGCTTCCTGTATTCTCTATTCAAACCTAAAATGTAACTGAATTACAGTGAGGTCAAATTAAATGCAGTCATTGGCTGGAAACCCAGCTGCCAGTGTAGGCTACTATGTTTTCCTTCTCTATCCCAGTGGCTGGGTTTCAGAAAACCCTATAGTGTATGGCAGTATAGGTGAAATCGCGTTCTGGGGGGTGAATTTAAGATTATGATACTGAAGTTAAAATAATATGATAATAATTAAAAGTTTGTATGAAGCAGTATAATGGGCTGTTTTTGTACAGGTAAAATAACTGGAAGCGAAAGACACCAGAAGCCAAACACATTCAAGTTACAAATAGTCGCGCCCGCTCTCTTGTGAAAACTAAGCTGGATATAAATAATATCCATTATTTTTTTTACAGCACATTGTTAGTTTCTGTAATTTTCTACAGTACATAATTGCTTGTTGTGTTTTTTACAATACATTGGTAATTACTGTGATTTTCTTCAGTACATAATTAGTTATTGTGTTTTCTACAGTACATTGGAAGTTACTGTAATTTTCTACAAGACATTGCTGGTTACTGTGACACTCACAGTACTTCTTACATTACTGCAATTTTGACCGAAACTACGCTATTCTACTGTGAACTAGTATATAGTAATTTCCTGTGCACAAACACAGTAAATTCCTGTAGATTTCACATGAATTTTTTACAGTGTATCTAATATGCAACATTTTACTCTTTCACTATTAGTTTTCATACAGGGATAGAAATTTGGTTGAAAATGTAAAATCAGCAAAAGCTTGTTGATTTTCATGATATTTAAGGACATGGATCGGATGTGTCAGTGGAAACTGTGACTGAGGTCACAACCAAATAAATATCACAGTTCAGCCGTGTTTCAGATTAATCTGAATGTGTTCAACCATTTTAAGGGTGACTATCGTGGAGAAATGGAGAAAATGTCTCTCAGATTAGTTTGGTTCTGTTTGTGTTTGTGGGATATGGTTGGTGAGTTTTAAATGTTTTTATGGCTTCAGTTGCTTTTGTTCTGGTACCTTACTAGTTAAATTAACATTAACTACTATTCTCATGTGTAAATGATTAAACTGTGATACTAATGTGAGATCTAGTTTGACTAAACTCAGTTTTAATCAATATGAACATTAAATACCCAACGGCATTTGTTTTAATGTGACGTGACTCTAATCTGAAGTACTTATTTATTTAATTATTGTTCCGATCTCTTTTCATTTATCTTCATTTGTCTTCAGTCTTTGTACTGCAGCAGAATATTTTAGTGAAGTCTTCATCAAACCAACATCTTATTTTAAACCTTTATAATCTGTGACAAACTCCGTTCTTCAGGCGTGTTAGAAATCAAATATAAAATGAAGTTAGTGAAGGAGGGAGATTCACAACACTGGTTTTACTGAATTAATGGATGATGATCGGATTCAGTGGAAGCTTGGATCGGAGACGAGTCTAATAGATGAAATCAATGTAAAGAGCTGCATATGCATGATATATGATGATGTTCTTAATGAGAGATTCAGAGACAGACTGAAGCTGGATCATCAGACTGGATCTCTGACCATCACAAACACCAGAACCACAGACTCTGGACTTTATGAACTACGGATCAACAGAAACGTGAGCAAGAATTACAGTCTCGCTGTCTATGGTGAGTTAAATAGGGAGTTAAATATAAACTCTACTTTGATCAGTCTTGGTTCCTCTTGATACTTCTTCTTCATCTACTAGAGTGTCTTCAACCTCATTTATCTTGATTCTATCATGTTTTTCAGCTCGTCTGCCTGTTCCTGTCATAATCAGAGACTCTCTACAATGTTCTTCATCATCATGATCATCATGTTGTTCACTGGTGTGTTCAGTGTTGAATGTGAGTGATGTGACTCTCTCCTGGTACAAAGGAAACAGTTTATTGTCCAGCATCAGTGTGTCTGATCTCAGCATCAGTCTCTCTCTACCTCTGGAGGTTGAGAGTCTTATTCTTTCACTAACCGGACTGAACATCTCAACAACACTCAACTCTGTCCAACATGTTCAGGTAAGTCTATGGTGCATAAGTTTATGCCTGTGGTTGAGCTGATCTGATCTCAGTTTAATGTTTTATTCCTCAGACTCTGTTGGCCATTGTGATTCTACTGTATTTTATATATAATCATTTCCTATTTTTAACTGTTTTAAATGAATTTTAAATAAACTTTTAAAACATTTTAAAAGTTTTTAAATTCCTTGTTTTATTGTTGTGATAATTTTTTCATGATTATTTTACTTTTATGTAAAGCACTTTGAATTACCAATGTGTATGAAATGTGCTAAATAAATAAACTTGCCTTGCCTTGCCTTATTGAAGGTGTGATCCGATTGGTCGTCACTGCTCTGGTGGGCATGGCTGCTGCAGCTGCTGTTCTCCTTCTGGTTTATGACATCAGATCCAGAAAAGCTGAACAAGATCGAGCATATATTCCCACATCTAGAACCTAAATGTTTTTTATAATTTCTCATATAACTTTTTTTTTTTTTTATAATTTATTAATCTATTATCTATAATCTAATCCATTATTTTTAATGGCTTCATATGTTCATCTGCTGGTAAGTATGTTCATTACCAAATATCATTATTGGTTAAGTTTCTTCTAATAGTGGGGTAAGTTTTAACACAGGGTTACAATGTACCCTAGTTCACAATTGTATCGAAGCCAATTTCTACCACATAAGAAAAAAAATCATAATTATGAGATTATAATTATGAGAAAAGGTTGAAATTCTGAGAAAAAAAAGTGATGAGAAAAAAGCCAATATTATGACATACTGAGTGATAATTATGAGATACATTATGACATAAAAAGTAGAAATTATGAGATAAAGGGTACACATTTTGAGCATTTATGTCATAATTAAAACCCTCATCCATCCCTCCCGAACCTATAACAAAAGTGTCCCTCGCGGGTCAAAATGACCTGAAGGCCAAAAATGACACTAATTTTATTTTTGGTCCAGAAAGCTTATATTGGTCCATTTTTATATTTTCTTTCTAATTTTTTATGTAGGTTTTTTTTGGGTGATTTTTATTTTATTCACATTAAATTCTGGATATTTTTATGAAAATGAGCATATGTTTATAAATTTTTTCACCGAAAAAAACAAAGAAAGTCACAATATCTGCATATTTATACTTTAAACATGATGATCCATCAGGACCTAGGTCACTGAGTGTCTCTGATGCCATCTGGTGGGGGAAAATTACATAAAATTGCATTTTGTGATTACAGCCACTAGAGGGCCCTATTGCATCCTAAGGAGATTCTTAAATGAGCCAAACAAGTGAAATCTTTAAAACTACACCAACTTGAGGCTTCATTAAGCTTTCAGATATATCTCAAGGCTTTCAGATATATATCAAAACATTAAAAAAAACTATATTTTGTAACAAAAAAAAAATACATTTTGAATGAATTTTAATCCAAACACATGCATATTCATACAGTTTCATAAATATGTAATAAATATAAAAGATAAATAAAAAAATATAAATATGATATAAACTCTGGTCTCCACCCCATCACTCAAATTTAACTGTGTTAAGTAAAAAAAAAAAAGAAAATGACAGTCATTTCCCAGCAGAAACATCATAAATGCTACAATGTGTTTCAATGGGAGTGTGTGTGCTAGTTAAAAAAATCTAATAAATAAAAACTGCTGGGTTTTTTTCGGACATTCCATTCATTCCTATGGCCGAGTCAAAATCACCCGCGAGGGACACTTTTGTTACTTTTTTTATTACACCCTTATTACACCCACATAGAATCCTCGAATCGACTCAAATTTTTTGTGTGTGTGCTCCATGCTCAAGTGTGACAAAATAATAATTAAAAAATCCTCAGTTTTTTCTTAAATTCCATGCTTTTCAAGTGGCGGGTCAAAATGACCCGCGGGGGACACTTTTGATACTTTTTTTATAGCACCCACTTAAACTGCTCGAATTCACTCTAATTTTTTTTCATGTATTCCCGGTTCAAGTGTGACAAAAGTAACAAAGTCTCATAACATAACGATCAACGCTCGATTTTTAAAAAATCTTTAAAAATGAGTTTTGGGTCAAAATGACCCGAGGGACGGATGAGGGTTTTTAATGTGTTATAATTTCAAGTTTTATCTCATAATTAAGTTTTTCATCATAATTATGACTTTTACCTCATAATTTTGAGTTTTTTAATTTCCTAATTATGATTTACCAAAGCATGATTTATTTATTAATTTTTTTGGTATGTGGCAGCAATAGACTTACATACAACAGACAAGTAAATTCTGCCTGCTATATAAGCATTTAGAGACTATGCAGGAGTATATTATAGCTGAAAGATTAAAATGGTACCAAGTTTGTCTCATTTCAAATTAACGCTAAAAACATGGTAAACATCTATGGTAAAATTGTCTTCCATTTAAAGTATATCTTCCAAAGTGGCATTTTGGTGCCATTTATTATGACAACCAGAAAACATAAAAAGTTTTGTCATAGCAGTCTGTTTGGAAACTTAAAGGATCTTACCTGTCTTATCTTTTGTTATTATTGTCTTCACTTATCGATCTCCTGACTGGATCTAATATCAGAGTTGTTGAACTATCCTCACTTGGATGTTAATTAGATGTTAATAACCCTGTTTGGCTGTGAGACCGATGGCCTTTTTTGCTAACTGTGCTTTTTTTCTACCCAAATTGAACTTTGCTACACATCAGCACAGTTGCGTTGTTTGAACTGTTTTTCCCGATTGGATTCCGCTACATATGGACTGTCAAACCATTGGAACTGCTTGTTGGCCCCGCTATATTCATCGCTCATCAAAACGACGCTGCTTCAATCCCTGCTATCTGGTCTCACAGATTAAGCACATGGAAGTCGTCTTCTACATATATACATCGTAGAACTTGTTTATCGTCTCTAAGGCACGACTGTATAAAAGACCAGAAATGACTCTGTGCTTAACAAGAGTGTGCAGCAGTGTGGTAATTTTGCCCTACTCTATACTCGTTCATTAACTTTTTCTCTGGGACCTCATCTTTGATAACTATGCTGATGCTCACAGAAACGTCTTTCCAGTGCTGAAGACATTCTTAATTTCTATGATGAAAGTACCTCTACTATTTGAATCAATTTGCTCCCTTAAAATCTATATTTGTCCCATCCTCGAACACTTTTCCTTGGTTCAACACTGAGCTTAGGGCAATGAAAACCAAGGGTCGTCATCAAGAAAGGCTTTATAATAATACTGGCCTTATTGTTCACTCCTTGGCATATACATATACAATGTATTACATTTTGGAAGTAACTTGCCCAACACTGCTGAACACAGGAAACCTCTTAATGCGGCTCGATCATCTTATTTTTCTACATTCATTAATAAGTCCAAAAACAGGCCTAGAACATTATTTACAATGATTAAAAAATTAGCTCAGCCTCCCGAATCAGAATCAGAATGAGCTTTATTGCCAAGTGTGTTTACACACACAAGAAATTCGTCTTGGT